GAGCCCAGCGGCCCCACAGCACGCCCGTCATGAAGATTTCGAGTCCGTGTGTGGCAGGGTCAACATGGACAGTGAATAATCCAGGGGAGTTCAGCACATTTTCTGGGTGTGGATTTCCTACGCAGCTGTGACCAGATCCCAGAGCTCCCCTGCCCGACACCGTGTACGATGCGGCGATCCGCTCCTTCGTGGCTGGGCGCAGGGAGAACACGACACAGAGGGAGCTCCCAGGACAGCGAACATGGTGAAAGGCGTAGTAATAGTCAGAAGTGTTTCATCAGTTTCCTAAATTCTTCAGGCAGCAGTAAAGGCGAGCACACGTTGTCTGCACTAATGTTCGCGGGCTCCTGAGACAATAAACGCTCCTGTCGTTTCCCTTGTGGACGTGAGGGGACTGGGCTCCCGGGCCGACCTGCCCAGGGCCAGGCCGCCACTGGGCAGGAACCGGCCGAGCCCTTCCGCCTGCCTCTCAGCCCACGTCCTCGGTTCTGCCCCGTGGAGGCTGGCCACGGAGGCTGGCCACGGAGGCTGCCTCCTCAACGGGCCACGCGGCCCGTCCTTTCTGCCCAGATTCACGGAGGTGCGAGGGCCCCCCAGGGGCTCACAGACGCGTGGCCCTCGGTCCAGGATGCTCTGCTCTAATCCCCGACCTTTGAGTGTGTTCCAACGTCACTGCGCCCACGTCTCCGAGGGAGCTCCGAGCGACGTCATCTTTTATCAGCAACCTGGGCACCTGGGCCACGTCGCTGCTGTGTGACCGCACGCTCCCGGCGAGAGGGAGGGGCAGGAGGGAGGAGAAAGAGCATCCAGGGCGAAGGGTCCAGAGACCGGCTGCAAACGGCTTGTGTGGCTGCCCAGCGCGCAGCCAGCAGGCGGGTGGCCCGGGAAAGCACAGTCCTGTCCCGCCCGCCTGTCCCTGGGGTGGCCCGTGCCCCGGCCCCTCTGCCTGGGCTTCAGAGAAACAAAACGTGGTCACGAGTGCAAGTGCTCTGCAAAGCACGACACACTCCTCACCCACGTGGGCCGGAAGGCCCCAACACGGAAGGACGAGCTGCCGTGTTCCTGCTGAACGCTGACCCGCGGACCGTGGGCAGGGTGCCCGGTGCGCCCGCCGGGCCCCGTGTCGACAACCTCCTCGGCGTCCCTCCATCCTGGCTGGCTCCGCGCGGAGGACCCCGTGGGGACAGCCAGGGCCTGAGACAGAGTGGAGCCGAGTGACGGCAGACTAGACCACCGGTGACAAGTGGGAGACACGACCCGAGAGAAATAGAGTTGTTCTGCATTGAGCCTCTAAAACGGAGGACTTGTTGGTTAGAGCGGTCACCTGACCCTAAAACACACGCGACTCCGTGGAGAACACCTGGAACGTGGCGCCCTTGCGGCCCCGCAGAAGGGCCCAGCGGGCCATTACCCGAGTCACTTCCATCCGAATGTCTGGCCTGCAGGAAAACTCCGGAAGGTACGAGGAACGCAGACATGCTGGTGCTGTTCCCCAGCACCCTTGACTGTGTTTTGTTCAGATACTCCCATGGGTGATTAGACTGCCCGTAAGTTTGAGACGGGCTTTTTAACAAACAGGAGTGCCTTTTGTAACTCGTGGGTGTGGGGCGTGGACATTAAATTCATAGTCCTTGCTGCCGTCCCCAGGAGCCGGGAGGGCAGGGAGGGTGGCCGCACCCCTTCCCCAGCTGGACGTCGTCACTAAACCTGTCCGAGGGGAACAGTGCAGCCCACGCTCCCTTCGAGCTCCGCCCCGGTGGTTTGGCTGAGGCAAATCTCCGACTTCCGGGGGTCCCAGGCCTTCACACGTGGCTTCGCAGACGCGAGTGTCTTGGGAGTGAATGCGGTGACGAGCCAACACTCTCTGGGCGTTTCCGTGGTCCGGGACAGGCTCTGGGGGGAGAGCGTTTGTCGGCACGTCCCAGGGGCTCCACTTGTACTCAAGGCTGGTCCTGACAGAAAGCGCGTCTCCCCAAATGCTTCCACAGTTTCTGTTACATTCCTAGCACACTAATCACGCACTCACAGGAAAAATAACATGACTGGTGAAAGTTAGGCATTAAACACTGTTTCTTTATAGTACACAGTGTTTCCCTTTAGGGAAGGTAACTTTTTCTCTCTAGTAGGAGGTTAGTTACATTGTTAAATACCAGGATGGTTGAGCAAATACAACACATCCAACATGTAATGAACATGTATCTATTTTAGAAGTCTTTGAAGGTAGCTAATATTCATCTCAAATAAAATATGTAACTGTGGGAAGCAGAAGAGTGTCTGTAGTTAAAACCTTAGCGATCTGCACTGTTTAAATTCAAGAAGGAGCTCGCCCATCTCACACTCTAGCCCCCCGGAAGAAGCAGGTGAAGCGAAACCTCCCCCCCACCCTGGTTCGTTTCATTTCCTTGGCCCCGTATGTTTCCTCAGAAGGAAAGAAACCTTTGTCAAATCTAGCAAAACATGTTATTCATTATTTTTTTGCCAGTAATGTTAAAATATAATTTGTTGCTTAATTTTCTGTCTTTTCTTTTTTGGGCCCTTCATAGTAGAAAGTTGTTCTTACTAAAGGAGGAAATCACATTATTCAATATAAATATATCACTTCTGGTTGCCTGAAAATAGACAGTGCAATTCATAGTGCTTACTGCGAGTAATTCACTCCAGCCCTGTTCCCCAGAGCTGCGTTTAGCTGTCTGGTAACAATCACGGAATTACACAGCCGTGGACTCCACAGGCACCCAGTCCGAGCACAGAGAGAAGCGGAGAGACTCTGGGGTTTGGCGATTGCATCCCATTTCCATGAAAACCAGGTACGTATACCTTGTTTTGCCCTCACCAGCACAGACCACTCGTCCAGCCAAGCCGGTGGTGGTGACACCGGGTGCGGACCACACGCGTGTTCCCGCTGCCCCGAGCGAGAACTCCGCGGAGCTCACCCTGACAGCACGGCACGTGGAGGGGCTCAGCAGAGATTATGCACCAGTGTGCTCTTGCATGAGGCTGCACACGCCTGTAAAATGGTTCATACAAAACGAGGGACCCCTACAGCCTCTGCAGCACAGAGATTTGCAAGAGGGAATGAATGAACAGCTGAGTCGTCTGTCCTACGAGCCAGACCCCAGGAACGGAAGCACCAGCCGACCACCAGTTCCAGGGCTGGTGCTGATGCAGGAGAGATTCGGGTCAGCTGGGCAGGCAGGGAGCAGCCACTCCACAAGGCCGTTTGTCCGTCTCATTAAAACTGAAAAAGAGCCCTGGCTGGTGTAGCTCAGTGGATTGAGCGCGGGCTGCAAACCAAAGTGTCCCAGGTTTGATTCCCAGTCAGGGTACATGCCTGAGTCGCAGGCCACGGCCCCCAGCAAATGCACATTGATGTTTCTCTCTCGTTCTCCCTCCCTTCCCTCTCTAAAATAAATAAATAAAATCTTTTAAAAACTGAAAAAGAAAGGATAATATTAATGACTAGCAAGCCTTCCTTGGTTGGTAGAATTTGGGGAGGGGATATAGTACTTACTGGTATTTTTTAGAAAAAAAATGTAGCTTCTGATTTTGTGGAATATTTATTGGAAAAGAAAGATTGTATGCAAATGCAAAATACGAGTTTGAGCTCATTCCTTGTGTTTTCCCCCCAAACAGGCTTACACGACAGTATTTTACAGCAGACGCTTGGCATGTGGGAGCCACGAGCCCCTCCAACGGGGGCTCCCCGGAACCAGAATGGGGGGGGCTTGTCACTAGGCGGCGCTCTTAAAAGAGGCGCTCACATTTTTTTTTTTACGCACGTAAAGGCAAAGGGAAAAGGAAAATATCTCATTTTATCTGTTTGTCTCTTAGATCTGTTTGATACGAATTTTTATTTTTTTCTCGAGTATTGCTTAACAAAAACGTCCCCACCCTGGTAACGCTGCTTGCGTAAGCGCTCCCTGAGAACCCGAACCGTTTGCTTCCAAAGAGCAGAGTATTAGCGCCTAACCCAGCGCGCGCGTGTGCGAGCGCGGGGAGGGGGCGTTGGTGGTCATAATTTGCGATCGTCCATCTCTACGTGATTTACCCAAAGAAACGGACCTGGCGAGGGGAAGGGAGAGGGGCGCAGAGACGCAGAGACGGGGGCAGAGATGCAGGCGGAGAGGGGTCCTCGGGCCGCGCCCCCCGCTCCCAGCGCCTCCCAGCGCCCTGCGCTCCGGCCCGCCGCGCGGCCGCTCCGCTAATAGCCAGGCTTTTAATCCCAGCCCCGCGCCCCTTCCCGGCGTGGCGCTCACTGCACCTTTCCCCGTCAGATCGCGAGCTTGGAGGACGTCCAGCGCTTGCCCAGAAAGCGCCAACGGAATGGGAAAGTGCGCAACTGACTGATAATACATTTTACAAGAAAAAAAAAATTACAGGAGACAAATTGTTGAACTCTCACCACGCGCCTGCCTATGTCTAAAGAACCAAAACTTTGTGGAAGACGTGGGCCAGGAGGGAACCGCCCCCGGTGGTCTCCTGCAGGCGGGTCCCTGGAAGGGGCGCGGCGACCAGCCCAGAGGAGGGTCTCGCACCGAGGGGGCCTGGCCCGGCTCCGCCGGGCTCCGGGGGCTGCGGGCCGGAGGGGCGCCGGGCCCTGCGCCACCCCGAGTTCCCTGCCCTGCCCGGCAGGCCCCTGCCCCCGGCTGCCCCTCCCCGACCGCCTGGCCACGCCCCCGGGTCCCTCCAAACCGATACACTCTAATTGATTTATTAAATGTCGAGGCAGCTCCTTTTTTAATAGCCCAAGCTCTCCATTTAGACAAAAACAGATCCGAGTTCCTGGTAAAGGCGTTTCTTCTCATCCTGTCACAAGTGACAGGAACGGAGGTAAATAGATGGGGGAGGGGAAGGGAGGCGGAGGGGAAGGGAGGCGGAGGGGTGGGGAGAGCAAGGGGGAGAAGTGGGTGGGAGGGGAGGAGAGGAAAGGAGGGGGCGGAGGGGGTGACGGACGCGGCGGGGGGGTGGGTCTGACGAAGATCCGCACGGGGGTACGAACACTTCAGCGGCTTCTAATTAAAGCCGGCGTGGAGCCCTCGGGACCCGCCTGACGTCGGCGGCGCGGGCATAAGAGGCGCCGGGGTCCGAGGCGGCCGCTGTGCAGCGCGCGCAACGGCAGAGCGGCGCGTGAGAGTCCTGCGCGTCCTGTGAGCCCCGCAGTGCGCGCTCCGCCGGCCCGGGCGCCGCGAGGCATGGACTAGCGGCACCCGGGGACGGACACCGGAGTACGCCCGAAGCTCCGGAGCAGGTGAGCGACCGCCTCCCGCGCGCCGGTGGCCCGCGGGCACGTGGGGGCCCGGCCCCCCTCGCAGGCGCTGAGGGTCCCCGGGACCTGGCACTGTGGGAGGCCGCAGCGAGGGTCCTGGCGCGGGGGCTCCTCCGTGGGACTCGGGGGTCTGTGTGGGCGCACGAGCACCACACAAAGGCTGGAAACTTGAGCGCAGCAGCTGGGCCGGGCGCGCTGGGGGGCCTCCTCGGAGGGACGAACCTCCACACAAGGCTTGTGAAGGTTACAGAAAGTTGTGCGGACGGACGCCCCGCGCTCCCCGGGCGGGATGTGCCGTTGGGTGAAAGTTTCGGGGCCCGGGTGGGACGCGGCGGGGGAGGGCCGAGCCGCTGGGCTCCGGAGCTCAGAGCAGGAGCCAGTCTCCGCAACCGCATGTGAAACCTCGGCTGGGGCCCCCGCGAGGGGCACCCCGCTCCGTTGGGGCACCCCGCCGCCGCCCCCTCCTCTGTCGGCTCCGCCCGGGACTCGGCGGGGCGCCCCCGCTCGGGGTCCGCGGGGACCGGAGGGGGTCAGCGGGGGTCCATGGCTGTGGTCTCTCCAGGGCCCCCTGCCCCACCAGCCAGCCGACTTTCCTCCCGCTCTCCACCCCCCCCCCAACCCCCAGCTCATCCCTCCAGCCAGCGAGTTCCGGGCGCACGGACCTCCCAGCCTGCCTGCCGAGCGCACGATGCGCGGGCCCGGGCGCCCCCTCCTCCTGGGGCTGCTGCTCGTGCTGGGCGCAGCGGGGCCCGGCCGGGGAGTCACCGAGCCCCGAGAGGCCGCGGACAGACAGACGCTGCTGCGGCTCATCGTGGAGATCATCCAGGAGCTCAAGAAGTACCACTCGGGGGAGTCCAAGCGACTGCAGCCCCCGGGCCCGCAGGACGCCGCTCCGGGCCGCAGGGAGGCGTCGGACTACGGGCCGGACCCCGAGGAGCAGCGGGCGGGTGAGTGCGAGCCGCTCCCGGACCCAGAGCTCGTGGTCGCTTGCACATAGAAGGGTCTTTGAGAAAACGCATTTTTAAAAGGCAAATCCATTTCGATTGGTTAAAAAAGAAGAAAACAGTAAGTCCATGAAGGCTACCTCGCGGGTAACCATCCCCAGCCTACTTCCGAGGCGCGGGGTGCCCCCGGGTCGGGTCGGTGGTGTCCGCTCAGATCTGCCCTCTGTTGTTCGGGAAACGGACGTGCTCCCGGCGGCGGCGGCGGCGCGGCGGCTTGCACGGCCAGAGCCGCTCCGGCCCCCCCCTCGCGGAGCCCCCCCCCCAGCACCCCAGGGGCGTTTCCCAGGAGAGCCTGCCAGCTGCGAGCGCTGCCCTGACACAATCGGGTCAAGTGTGATAAGCTCGGTTTTCGGGAGACGGACCAGAGTTGGGGGTGAGTGACCACTGACACGCGGTCGGTGTCTGACCCTCGGGTGGGGGGCATTCCTGCGGGAACAGACGGGGAGCCCACCCGCACAAAGGCAGGTCAGGGGCCGGGGCAGGTGAGCGGGACATGCCCTGGGGACCGCGAGGGCAGGAGCAGGCGGAGGTCAGGAGCAGTGTCCCTTCCCGAGTGCCCGCCCACCCAGACTGTGTCTGCTCGGAAGGGGGGTCCCCAGGAATTCTGCTTCTCTCCCCCAGACCAGGTTCTCCTGCTGGTCGGTAACACCAACTGCACCTGCACAGCTTTCACAGCAGGTGGTCTGAAGACATTTCATCTGTTTTCCAAATATGTACCCAGAAAAAGGAAACTTCTGTGGCCATTTGTGTGTTGCATGGGTGAGGTTTTCTTTCTGGAGCTTTGAGAGGTTGTGGAATTTGATTCCCAAGCTCTTTGAAATGGAAGCTTCTAACTGATTTATTCGCTGGAAGCTCAGTGTCAAAAGACCACCACACACACGGTTTCCTTCACCTTCTGCTTCAGGGTCCCCCTCGCTTCCCAGCGGTGGGGGCCGGGGCCGGGGCCGGGGCCGGGGCCGGGGGCTCCGGGAGCCGCTGACTCGGTTCGGAGATGCCGCGCCTCTGGGGACGCTGTCCACACGGCTCCAGGTGCGAGGAGCGAGGGCCGGGCCGGTCTCACCCGGTCCGTCCTGCGGCGGCCACGCGGGCGCCCTCTCCCCGGGGGTCCCTGCGGCATCCGCTCAGGGTCACGGGGCGGGGGGATGCTCCTTTCGGGCAGCACAGTAACCACTCTCGCTCCCCTCAAACAGAAATCGTCCCCCGGGACCTGAGGATGAAGGACAAGTTTCTGAAGCACCTGACAGGTAGGCTTCCCCTCACCGCCTCACCGGCCCTGCCCCGTCCCCGCACCCCGAGAGCCCTCGCGACCTGTGTCCCCTCCGCCTTCCAGGTCCGCTCTACTTCAGCCCCAAGTGCAGCAAGCACTTCCACAGGCTCTACCACAACACCAGAGACTGCACCGTCCCGGCATGTGAGTGACGGGGCGCCGTGGCCGCACGGGGGGCGGGAGGGGCGGTTCCCACGCCCTCCCACTCACTGGCCTGCCTTCCTCACACGTCCCCCCCTCGTGGCCTCGGAGCCAGGGCCAGGTGGCCGGCCAGGGAAGAAGGCCACGACATTTGGCGGCAGCCGGGGCCCAACTTAAAATCAGTGATTCGCCGTGATTAACCATGCTCGGGGTGGGCGGGCACCTCCTGATTCCACTGGTGACGATTGGACGGGTGTTGAGAGTGAGGGGTGCAGGGACCGGGTGCCCTGGGGTGAGGAGCCAATGGACCTGGGCCCCCGAGACTCCCCCCCCACCCGTGGGTGACCCGCACCCTTGTCGCCGCGGGGCTACGCTGCTGTTTCAAAGGTCTGCCCTCGTGTCCGGCTTCACCACCGACTCGGAAACGCAGACCGGCCCTTCTCGGTGTGGGGCCGGTCTGACCTCTCGGTGGCTTCTCCACGACAACGTGCATTTTATTTCCTCAAAAGTGGCTCCTCGTGCTTTTCACAAAACATACGATGGTGACAAGTCACTTGTTAGGTGAAGCGACATCTGCTAGAGCCCCAAACCAATTTTTTTTTTGAGGAAGTGCAACTTCCATTGGTGGCCCAGGGAGGGAAGTTTGCAAATAAGCGGTATCTCACCAGCTGCTCCCAGGGCTGACCCAGGGGGCACAGGCCAGACCTGCCAATCCTGTCTTTGAAAAAAAAAAGCCACTTTCTGTGAGTGGCAGTTTCCCCGGCGCAGACCGCAGTGGCCCCGAGTAACAGCAGGTGTGCGCACTGGCGGAGGGCGGAGCGCCCCCGGGCTCTCCTGGCTCACGGGGCAGGGACCCCGGGGTGGGCAGCGCAGGGCCCCACGGGCACTGCTCTCAGGTTTTACAAGCTCCCAGCTCGCTGCCACCCTCGTGTCCCTGCCAGATGGACCTGGCACACGCTGCTCCTGCACTTCCTTCTCCCGAGAGTCACCTGCTGCCTGAGAATCATTAACCCGCTTCCTGAGGCCGAGGACCTGCTCGTTCCATTGTCTGTGTGCACGTGTCCCCATTGAACGTGGTCTTACAAGGCGGGGCCGCAGACCCGAAGTGACCGCTGGGGTCATGACCGCTAACCCTCCCACTCACAGAGGACCTTCGCCCCAGGCCCACACCCTGCAGACCCCTCTGCAGCCGCCGCCTGTCCCCTGGGGACTCGGCCACCTGCTGCCCAGGCTCCCAGTCACCCACGCACAGCGAGAGGCATCCTCAGATGGGGCCCAACTGCAGCGCTCGGGATGGCAGGGCAGGGTGGAGGGAGCCCGGAGACCAGTGTCTCCCGGCCCACAGGCCTTCGGAGCTGCTCCGCGTCCCTGGGAGGCCGGGCTCGTGGGGGGCCCGAGGGCCTGTGGGCTGCAAGTATGGGCCTTCCCAGAGCAGCACACAAAACCCGCAGAAGTGGGGTCCCAGGGGCGACCGGGTCGGAGAAGCCAGGGTCTCGGTGGAAACGCCTGCACAGGCGGCCCGGTCGGCGGCCGCTCCAGGGGAGCTGCTGCAGGACCCAAGTCCCCAGGGACCCGCAGGCCAAGCCCGGGCGCACCTGTGGGCGCAGGGTCGGCTGCCTGTCTGACTTACTGCTGGTTTACGCGTTCTTCCGGATGCTCGCGTAGGGCCAGGGGCTCCCCACCACTCGGTAGGACTCTGTGCCTTGAACAGTCAGCGGCAGTGACGTGCAAACAGCCCAGGGCACCGCCCCCTGCACCCTGCGGGCAGGGTCCCTGAGGCCCTGGTTTCCGGGCACAGCTGACGAGGGTGGAACGGGACACGCGGGGTGCAGCCCGTCTCGGTGCTCCGCTTTCGCTAGGGTGTTTACGGAGGGCTCTGCGCCAGGAGGAGGTGCGGGACTCGCTGCACACGGCCCGCGAGCGAGCAAACCCAAGTCGCTTCCTCGAGCCCCCGCCCCCGCCCCCGCCCCCCCAGCCCTCCGGTTCCCTGTCCCACCTCGGCCACAGGATGCCCCGAGTCCCATACATCACTAAGTCAACAACTTGGGGCCCACGATCGCAGAGACAGACAGCATCCAGTGTCCAGGGAACTCAGAGACACGAAATGGCTTTAGCGGCTGGTGCGCGCGTCTAAGACCAGTGCTGGCCGAGGAGCCGCCGCAGCGGCTGACGGGCCCTGGTGTGTTCCCCCCGCAGACTACAAGAGGTGTGCCCGGCTGCTGACCCGGCTGGCTGTGAGTCCCGTGTGCATGGACGGATGAGGTAAGCCCACCGGCGCCAGCGGTCCCCTCGGGGACGGGGACAAACTCTGGGGCTCTGGGAACCCTCACTCCTCGGCGAGGCCGCCTCCCTCTGAGCGAGGCTGACGGGACACTCGGCACCCCCGGGTGCTGGCCATGGCTGAACAGCGGCCGTGCTGGCCGGTCATCTTTGCCCACGTGGCGACAGGGCCGGCACGCAGTGTGTGTTTATTTGAACCACATCCGAGCGTGGGACACGGGCACAAAAGAGGGTGACGCCGACAACTGGCCTGTGCACGGTGCCACCCGTCCGCCAGCCCCCGCGAGCGAGCGTGGGCCCGGCACGCCCGCGCAGGAGTTGCGGCGTCTCTGCCAGACACTGGAGCTGGACTCTGCCACTCTGCCACTCTGCCAGCGAGCGGACGCAGGGTAGCGAAGAGTGGCTGCCCTCTTTCAGCAGCCCCATGAAGTTGTTACTTCATAGCCTCTAAGGGTGAAATGGTAAATGCACACAGGAATTTACAATCTGAACTTTTTACTCGGCCTCTGGAGGGCTGACACACAACAGCAGCTGTCAGTCAGCGGGCAGGCCGGAAGTTCTTATTTTCCTGACGCACACGCCACGACTTCCTCACGTCACACTTCGGCCCGAGGCAGGTCCGTCCCCAGTGGGAAGAAGACGGGCTTTGGCCCTCGATGGCCGTCCAGGGCACTGGGGAGGGGGGAACATGCCGTGCCCGCCCAGCAGCTCCTCTCTGGGAGGGGACGGGGCCCAGCACCGAGGAGGAAGGCCGGGTCAGGCCGCAGAGCGGGCGCATGGCTGGCGGAGGGCTGGAACGGAAGCTCAGTGCGCAGCCCAGCCCTGGGGTTGGCAGCCCTGGTCCGCCGGCCTGTGAGAAGCCCCGGAGACTGCAGACGAGAACCCGCACTGGGGCCCACACTGGGGCCGCGGAGGCTCCTCAGAGGTCGAGTGGGGGTGCGACGGGTCAGAAGCCCGGTCTTCGATGCCACAGCGGGAACGAGCGGCCGCGTTGTCCCGCTCCTGCGCCCACGGCACGGGAGATCCCTTTCGGGCGCCGCGTGGATCCCGTGCAGCTCCCAAGTGACGTGCCTGGGCAGACGAGCACTATTTTGTAAGCATTTGTGAAGCATCACTGTCTGCAGATCCTTGGGAACCTGCTTCCACTCTCCTTACAAGAGGGGGCGCGCCCTCTGCAGCCCCTGACCTGGGGGCTCTGTCCCCTCCGCCAGGCCAGGCCGAGAGCAGCGAGGGGAGCGGCGGCCCTCCCCGGCTGCGGGGCCCACCCGTGCGTGGGGCGGCGCGAGTGAGGCGCTGCTGCTGCCGCCGCCGCGTCAGGACGAGCCCACGCAGCTCGAACACTCGGCAGAAGCCCGCCTGTGTAGGGGCGCGGCTGTGGGGCGGCGCTGGTGGCCCCCGAGCCGGCCCTTCGCTCCCGGCCCACCAGGCGGTCAGACCAGATGGAACAGGGTCCAGAGGAAGGGTCGAGGTGGTGCCCACGAGCGTCCGCACATCCCCTGTGCCACGGCCCTAACGGTTCATTCTGGCCAAGAAATGGGTCAGGTTTAAAAGTTACATCTGCTAACTGTAATTTCACATTTTTAAAAGATTAATTTCTTCTAGTTCCCGAAGTTTTAAACTGCAGTAGCAAACGCTAACTGGCTGGTCCCTGCAGAATGGGTAAGGGTGCCCACGAGTTGGGGGAGCAGGGGCTCCCCTCCAGGCTGAGCTGGCCCCACACCCTCCCTGCTGCCCGCACACGGGAGGTGGCGGCGCAGAGCTGCGGGCTGAGGCTCCTCCCCGTCCTCCTAAAGGCCTCTCCTGAGCACGTCCAGCAGTCAGGGGTCTGGGCGCAGGGACTCCCCCAGGACGCGGGGTCAGCACCCGGCCTCCTCCCAGAGGTTCGGCAGCTGAGCTCTCCTGGCGGAGGGCCCGCCCGCAGCCCGCAGCCGGCACACCACAGAGCCCGCCTGGGGCTCCGGGAGCAGCCCCAGAAGCAGCCCTAGCCGTCAGGAGCCGGACCGAGGGGAACTGGAGTGTTCCCAGCCTTGCAGGCCCTGCTCACAGCGGGGCACGAGGCCTGGCGGCTCTGGCCCCAGTGGCCACGCACTGAGCCCACGTGGACTGAGGACCCAGGGGTCAGCAGCACGTGTCCGGCCGCAGGGAGCGGATTTCGGTGGTCTCCACTCCTTCAGGCATGGAGTCACGGCACAGCTGAGGTGCTGTCCACGTTCAGGGACGCAGACCGGGCGCAGGTCCCGTGTGCGTCTGGAGACCACGCCGCGCAGCCCCGCGCGGAGTCTCTGGAACAGGCAGCGGGGTGGGCGGTGACGGGCCGTGTGCTTCCTCCCTTCCAGCCGCGAGCGACCGCGGAGCAAACCCTGCCAAGTGCCTTGGAGACCGACGGGGACTCGGAACCAGCCGCCGGCACGAGCGTGTCCCAGGAAGAGAGCTTTATTTTTGCAGACTTCCACAGTTCCTGGCGTGTCGTGGGTTGTGGGCAGCGTCTGCGGACACGCACTCGGTCCGTCCGAGCGCCTGGCAGCGGACCTGCGCTCCGCCCTGCGGAGCGAGGAGGCGCCGGCCCGCCGTGCAGCACGTGTGACGTGCCGTGTGACGTGGGCACGGCAGAGGCCCCTCGGTCTCCCGACTGGGTGAAATCACAGGCTATTTCTTTAGAAATGTAAGCAGATTTGAAACTATATTTTCATATCACATATGGTATGATTTAATATTTTTATTACTTTTACAATTAAATTCCCAGAGTATTAGTTGGAACTGCATGAAAAGTTTTTAAAAAGATAAACTTCAGCTGGGTTTTGGAGACAGGAAAGTCTTGTAAATTGTGGACATATCGAGGCTAATTCCACCTGTCGTTTGTGTAATAAATGTAAAATAGCAGCAGTAGACTGTGCAATATGTACATACTGTACATAAGACGAGTAATAAAGTGTTTGCTACAACAACCTCCGAGTGGCCGCACTCTCTGAGAGCCCCGCACTGGGAACCCACGGTTCGCAGGTCCGTGAGGACAGCCCGGCAGCGGGCCAGAGGACAAAAGGGCATCGGCAGGCGCAGTGGAAAGCGATGAGCCCTCATCAACAGTTACATCGTGGTCCTTGTTCAGAGCAGAGGCCGCTGCACGGTGGTGACGCGGCTCCCGAGACCCAGACTCAGAGTCAGCATCTCCGCTAAGTCTGCGCCTGCCTGTCCCTCCTGTGTGGCCGTGGCCGGGAGGACGCTGAGCCTGAGGACGGCCCAGCAAGTCCACACTGTTGAAGGTGGGCGCACTGTGAGCAGACCCGACTGGGTCCAGTTTAAAAAGACGAGGGAACTCGGCTGAGTTCTTCTGTTCGCGACCCCTGGTCTGGGCACAGCCACGGGGACAAAGCAGAGTCCTGGGATTTGAGGACCCGTATTTAACATGCATGTGCAAGCGTGAACATGTATGTATATGGGTTCACTTATGAACATAGAGGAACAGCGAAGAGTAATGAATCTATCATCTACTTTGGGCTTATTAAGCAATCACTGAAAAATTAGGGCGGAGTAAAGTTTTTGCAGTACTCTGTCTTAATCCTGTGTTCCAACTGGTTAATCACTGAACTTTTTCCCCCAGTCGTCACTTTGAAGGGACAGCACCAAACCCTCAATCTCTTCACCCCTCCCAGTTCCCTGTATGTTCTGGAAGGGACTTTCCGTAAGCCTGCCAAGGAATCCCACGGTCCTTCCTGCCCGGACCCTGTCCCACTGCCCCCGTGCCCCCGGTGCCGGCACACACAGGTTCAGGACCACCCCCCCGACACTGTGGAGAGGAGGCCCCTGGCCCCGAGGAGGAGCAGGCGCCCCGACAGGGAGTCCTTACTGCGAGACCCCACTGCCGGGCACTGTGCCCCGACTCTGCACGGAGGCCGCTCCGGGACGGAGACGGGGGTGTGGAACAGGGCAAAGACAAGGCAAACCCTAGCCTGCGGGGCCGGGATGCGGGGAGGGCAGCTGCTGCGGGGCCCAGACCTCTTCCTCACGCAGACCCGGGGCCTCCGTCCCCGCACGTCCCAACACCGAAGACCGGAGACCGGCACGCTCCTAGCACCGCGCCCTCCAACCCCCCCCCACCCCGCTCCAGAAGGGCTCCCCGAGGCCCCGTTCTGGCTCTTCTTCTGCACGTGTCCGCAGAGCAGCAGGCAGACAGCAGACTGACCTCTCAGCTGTATTTGCATAATTTCCCCAGTTTATTTTGAAAAATCTTTTTCTGACATATAACCACATGAATTTTAGATTAGTTATCTGAAAGTACACAGAAATTACCTGTATTTGCCTATAAATTAAGCCATGATGAAACAATACTTATCAATATCTAAGCATTCCAACATAAAAACTTCCTCCAACTATCTAATTATTTGGGGTGTATGCGCATCTGAAAGCAGGCGCGTCCTCACGCCGACCACGAGACGAGGCAGCTCACGGGGGTCCACGGATCTCTCCCTCTCCTGGACGCGTGTGTGTGTGCACGGCCAGTGCGTGGGTGCGCACAACCCGCCCCGCTGTGCGCCCCGGGGGCGGAGGCAGGGGCGGGCGCTCGTCCTCACGGCGCCCACACACTCAGGGAAGAGGCGGAGTGAGTGACTTGTGTCACTCACTCCCGGGGCCCCAGCGGGATCACGCTCTCAGTGGCTGGTCTGCGATTTTGCCTGTGAGTGGGCCACAGCAGGAGTTCCGGGGGACTATAAACACTTCATGTGCCCCCAAATTGTCCGAGTCAAAAACATTTATTTATTCTTTTGCCAAACACACCACTGATTTCCATCTACAATTGCTTGTTTTGGGTAAAGAGCAGCAGGTGGACGGAAGTGCCAGCACCGGCCTCAAGCTACGGGCGCGGGCAGCCCTGCTGGGGTGCAGCCGGCCGGCGGCTAGTGGGCCCTCTCCAGGAAGGCCCGGCAGCACCTCAGGCACTGCTGGTACACGGTCTCGAAGTCGGACTCGCTCCCCTGCAAGGAGGAAAGGGGAGTGACAGAACCAGGTGGTCCGGGGGGTCCTCACGCGGGCTGCGGGGGCCCGCCCCCCACACGGGAAGGTGGGCGTGGACGAGAGGCGGTACTTACGTAGTAGGGGTCTTCGATGATGAGCTGTTTCTGAGGGTCGTAGCTCCCGAGCAGCTCGATTTTAGCTTTGCTGTTTTTAACCTGGTTACTCTTTCTAGTCAAATCTCTGTAAAATCAAAACACGAACTTAGGTCTGTGACCCCTGGCTGGAGGTGACACGGGGCCCCTGTGGGGCTTCCTGAGACACCCCCATGGGGACGCGGCATGCCCACCCGCCTCCGGCAGCTGTCCCTCAGGCCCAACAGCAGCCTGTCCCCCCCCCCACATGTCTCTACACCAGCTGTGCGCCCGGAGGTCAGAGGAGAGTCAGGAGTTCTCTGCGGAGTACACGCTGAGACAATCAATCACACACCTCGTTTAGGAGCTTAAACAAAGATGACAGAATGGAGCACGAAAGGCCGCGTGGGCCAGGTCCTGAGGGCTCTCAGCCCCCCGAGGGGTCCAGTCCCTGTGTCCCCTCTGGCCTCAGCCTGAGCCCAGGCTGGGGGCACAGCCCGCCCTGACACCGTCACCACCAGGTGTCCCACGGCTGCACGGTAACACACTCGCTGGCTGGTGCTGGCGTGGGGCTCGCTGGTGTCTGTCGGAACACTGCCCCAAAGCAACCTGGGCTCAGACAGGAAGGCCAGCCAGCAGCTGAGCTGCCCGAGCGGGAAGGGACAGCGCGGGGAGACAGCCTGCTCCGCAGGGGCAGCACTGGATGGACGCCGACCGTGTCGGGGGCGTCACTGGTCAGGGGAGCAGCGCAGGGCTTTCCGACCGGACGGTGCTGGTGCTGGTGCTGGAACCGCGTGAGGGGCTGTGCCAGTGGGCGAGGTGGGACGGACACAGCTCCCCGCTGGAAAGCGAGAGTGATCGACGCAGCCTTTGCAGAGTCCCCGGCTAACAGAGACGCCGGGGAGCTGCTGCGCGCCCTTCCGTCCGCTCCGGCGGGGTGACTGGCAGCAGAAGCGGCTCCTCTGTGTCAACCACACAGAACACGCGTGTGTTAGTTCTGACACGGCCAGGGACGCCCCACGGCTGCGGGCGCGCATCCCTGGTCTCTGCCCCTGCGCAGCCGCCCCGGGATGAGCAGCACAGTGCCGGGCCCTCAACCGGAATCCCTCCCTACGTCCTGTCCGGTCACCTCCCCCGAGTCTGCTTCCGAATCTGTAAAACACGCTGCGTTCACGCATTTTTGGCTCAATCACGTGATCTCATATGCTTTCCTCATGGGGTGTAACCGCATCTTCACATGTGTAGCCCACACCGGCAGCCTCACGAGGGCAGGCGGCAACACCACCACCCGTCACAGCCCACCGGCACCACGGCAGCTGCCCGGCACGCGCCCTGCTGCCCAAAGACAATGCGTCGCCTGCGGCCAACGACGCAGGAGGCGATAAGGCCCGGTGGGGAGTATGGGCAGTGTGAGGCCCCCGCTGGACTCTGCTTCCCAGAGCCTAAGCCAGAGTCCAGCAGACCCACCAGCGCACCTGAGGCCCTGGGCAAGCACCTCCACCCCCGGCGCCTCAGGTTCCCGGGCCAAGGTGGGTCACAACGCAAACCGGTGGACGGTGCGCTGGGCCCCCAGAGCTGACACGCGCTACGGAGCAGCCAGCCATGCTCATCGGACACCCCGGGCCATCAGCTGGTTTTGTTTTACTTGATTAAGGCGATCAACAACTAAAACAGAGTAAAAAGTGTTCTGTCGTTCTTAGTTTCTGGGGGGCGGGCAGTGGTCGAGGAGGAAAAGATAAGGGACCGTAAAACCCCACACGGTCCACGCAGCGTTTCGGCCACAACACAGCACCGCCCTGCGGCCACAGCCCTGCCCGGGAGAGACCCGCACCGCCGCCCGGCTGCTCCTCGAGCCGACGCTGCCGACTGAACTGCCCCGCACCCAGGTGCGCCTCCTTGTAAGCGTGCACGCCAGACGGCTCTAAGCTGCCTCCCACACTTCCCACTGCTCTGCACACACGGGGTCCGTGCACAGTGGCCGTCACTCGCTGTGGAAACTGGAAGGTAACAGCAAGTCGCCTGCACAGCCAGCTCCCGGCCTGCCCACGAGAGCTGAGCCGCAACGCCCCCCGAGGGGCGCCCTCACCTCAGATTGCTCTCGTCCATGCACAGCATGTAGTCGAACGTGGCGAAGTCCTCTTTGGTCACCTGCAATCGGGCGAGAGGTCGGGCAGCGTTTGCGTTTGTGCCGATCAAGCCCAGAGGATAAACAGCACCCCAAAATAGTAAAAGCAGTATTTTTTAAAAGGCTACATTAGAATCTGTTACTCAAAAATTAAATTAGGGTCCTTTAAAATGAAAAGAGAGTTAACCTCTTTCCTAAAACTGCATTGCAGAGAAATGGTATGTTGTGAAGTCCCTAGAGTGAATATGGAACAGCGTAATGGGTAGACTCGAAGTTACACTTCATCTCCAGTTTCTCAGTAACAATGTGAAATTCAGTCAGCGTGTTAAAACGTCACACACAAATGAGAATGAAAACACAATGGCTCACACAATCGATGGGACACAGAGAAAGCGATGCTGAGAGGAAAATTCACAGCATCACAGGCCTCCCTCAGGAAGTAACAAAAATCTCAAACAATCAATCTAAGGAGCAGGGCTACCTGCTCCTAACGGACTAGAAAGAACAAGGCCCAGTGTGAGCAGAAGGAAGGAAATAATAAAGGCCAGGGCAGAAATAAATGAAATGAGACTAAAAAAATAATAGAAAAGATCAATAAAACTAAGAGCTGGTTCTTTGAAAAGATATACAAAATTGATAAGCCTTAAGACAAACCCGTCAAGAATAAGAGAGCGAAGATCCAAATAAATAAAATCAAATGAAAGAGGAGAAGTAACAAAACAGCAGACTCCAACAACTATATGGAAACGAACTGGACAATCTGGACAAAATGGATAAAGTCCTAGAAACATACGATCTTCCAAAACTCAAGCAGGAAAAAGCAGAAATCTGAACAGACAGATTACCAGCGACAAAATCGGAGCATTAATCAAAAACGCCCAGCACACAAACGCCCTGGAACGGACGGCTTCCCGGGTGAATCTCCCCAAACATTCCAAGAACTAACGACCCTGCCTCCGAAACCACCGTGAACACTCAAGAGGAGGGAAGGCCGTGAACTCACTTAGCCAGGTCGGCATTACCCTAATTCCAAAACCAGACAGAAGCATCACCTAAAGAAGAGAATTGCAGGCCAACGTCCCTGAGGAACACAGATGCAAAAATCCTCAACAAAACATTAGCAAACCAAGTCCAGCAGCACACTGAACAGACCCCACACCACCGTCAAGCAGGATGCATCCCAGGGACGCAAGGTCGGCACAATATCTGCACATCAACACAGGTGATTCACCACACTAACAAAATGAAGGACAAAAACCACATGATCGCATTGACCACATGATCAATGGATGCAGAAAAACCATCTGACAAAACGCAGCACTCTCTGTGACAAGAACTCTCAGTAAAGTGGGCACAGGGGAATGTGTGACAGACCTACAGCCAGCACCACACTCAACAGGCACAAACTACCAGCGTTCCCCCTGAGATGGGGAACAAGACAGGGATGCCCGCTTTCCCCACTCGTATTCAACGCAGCACCGGAGCCCCAGCCAAGCAACCAGACAAGGAGAAGAAACAAAAGGCATCCAGACTGGAAGGGAAGAAGTAAAACTCGCTGTCTGCAGATGACACGACACTGTGCACTGAGAACCCCAAAGACTCCACCAAAACACGACCAGAGCTGACGAATGAGTTCCGTGAAGCAGCAGGACACAAAATCAGTAGTCGAGCGTTGGTGGTACTTTTACACATCAATAACGAACTACCAGAATGACAGATTAAGAAAACGGCCCCATTTCCGACGGCACACAGGAGTGTGCGCGCACATTGGTACACTTATTCCTACGCGTGTGAGTAAACGTAACCGTGGGCTGAAGACCTGCACTGGGCTGAAGACACAGCCGCAGGGACACCCACGCCGTGTCCGTGGACTGGCTGAACCGACACTGTGAAAATCAACCTAGACATTCAACCCCTCTCCAACCATTGGGGCACCTTCCACAGAACTAGAACAAGTAACCCTAAAACTGACACGGAACACCCAGGGTCCCGAAGAGCCACACCGATCTCGGGAAGGAACAGAGCCGGAGGACGCACGCTGCCTGGTGTCGACCGCACTACGAGGCCACAGCAACGCCAACAGCACGGCGCTGGCGTGAGAACAGACGCCCAGATCAACGGAGCAGAACGGGGAGCCCAGGGAAAGACCCTCGCCCCCAGGGTCAGCTGGTGCGGAGAGCGTGGGCGGGCACGCACGAGGGGAAAGACAGTTAGTGAACGGTGTCGGGAGACCAGGAGACAGACAGACACGCAAACCGGCGAGGACAGACCGCCTTCTCGTTCCACACGGGAACAAACTCGAAACGGATTCAAGACTCGAATCCTGTCAGGTGTGCATCCAACCCGGACGACACCACGTGCGATGCCGAGCATGTGCCGGGCAGGGCCGCACACAGGGTTCCGGAAGATGCGCACTGACCTTCGCAGGGCAGAGTCCCACGCTGGAGGCGGGAGCAGGGACCCGGCGCAGCCCCAACAGGAGGGACCTGCAGCCGAGAAGGAGGGGCAGGAGGGGCAGGAGGGGCAGGAGGGGCAGAGGGACAGGACAGCTTCCCCACAGCCTCGGGAGGAGAGGCCGCCGTGAGTGCTGGCCACACCGTGGAACATCCCGAGCTCACGCCGACTGACTGTGCGCCCGTCAGAGAGGTTCACCGCAGGGAGGAAAGAACGCGGGGGAGCAAACATCTCCCCAGAACACCCGGAGGTGCGACCTCAGTCGCCCAAGAACACCGACCACGGGGGCCACAGAGAAAGCGGCACCCGCGTGCGCTCTGTCTACTGCGCCCAGGGCGCCGGAGTCCCGGGAACGGGCACTGAGAGAAACAGCACCGCAGCCGCCGTGTCGCACACGCTGTGCACAGACCTGAGAAACCCGCACACGTGAGCAAGGTTCTGAGATCAAAGACCTGGGGTGCCACGGGTCTCTGAAACGTGTCTCACTAGGACTCGGAGTTTAAAATACTGAGAAATCGTTCTTAAAAGAAGCAACAGGAATGGAAAAAGGCACAAAAGATGATCTGTAAATACTACTTCTAAAACTGGTCGTTACCAATGTTCCTGTAAAAATAGTTTCTAGCTTTGATGTTTTTACAGCACTATTTAAAATACTTTCTTTGTACCCATTTTTAGTACGTAACAGCGTATGAGAACCCATCAGAGCTTGGTGAGAAACAGAAAATACGAAAGTATGAGTTCTTATACTTCTGAAGAACTCAAAATACGGATACATCTACATTTTTAAAAGATACAAAGGAGGAACTGGCAGGCTGTGCAAAAGCTTGACGAGATGAGAAAGCACAAACGATGAAATGTTCCATCTTGTGTCCAAGGAAAATCCCCCGAGGAAAGACCTGGGTCCTTGAGGGACGTCACTTAAATAATGACACACTGTTGATACGACACTCGATGCCACAGCCAGAAACGGGAGGCTCACAGGTCTCAGGGCGAAGTTATCGAAGCCCAAAATAACGTCCCACTGATTTCTGAGACATCATTAACGTATCAGAAGTGTTCCCCAGACAGCTTTGTTGTGTGAATCTTCTGGCTTACACACTGATGTTTTCATTAAAACAAAGCGATGACCAAACCCCAACTCTACCACTTGAAGCTGGGTGAGTTTTAGTAAGTTGTGTATTTTCTCTCCAAAACTCAGTTTCTTGGTCTGCAAAGTGGGTTTACCAATTACCGTATTTCTCAGACCATAAGATGCACCTAGGTTTCAGAGGAGGAAAATAGGAAAAATATTTTGAAGCAAAAAATGTGATAAATATTTAATAACTTAAGTAACATAGTATTTCACCAATGTAAGTGTAAACAGAACTCAACGGCAGCATTAACAACCATTATTCCTCCCAAATGGGGTGCGGGGGTGCGTCTTACAATCCAAAAATACGGTGCTCCCTTCCCTAATGAGTGAGGGATGGAGAAGGTGAAAATCAGAACTACAACGCCGGCAGAGCTCCCTGGAGAGCTTCAGAAGACGCAGCGGGGCGAAGAGGAGGGTCCCGGTCCGAGCCCGGACACTGAACTGCGGCTCTCACGGTGCCGTCCACAGGGACCGACCTGTGGCACGTCAGGCCCTGCAGCCCAGTGCAGTGCCCACCAACCCCGGGTGCCGGCTGAAACCAGGCACAGTTTGGAACCCAGCCCCTGCGTCGCCCTGGCATTACGCCCGGCGAGCAGCAGCCACGTGCTCCCCCGGAGGGGCCCGAAGTCCCGGCACCGCATGCGGGCCGAGTGCTGGTGACAAGGCGGCCGCGGATGGAACGGCCTGGCAGGCGCCGCAGGGCCTCACCCCAGCAGCACGCCGCGATGCCCGCCGAGTGGCCACAGCAGCTCGGGCGTCCGAAAGCCAGACGGACACGAGGAGGCGCCTGCAGCCCAGGGCGCCCCGCCCCCAGCCCGGGCTCTCCCCGTGACAAACCACACAAGTCAATGCCAAGAGCCCGGCAGTCTGGGGAAGCAGGAGTGGAGCGGGCTGGGCACGCTGCGGCCAGGACGCCGACCGTGAGCACGCAGGCACGAAGAGCAACGTCCGTTCAGTGAGGCCTCGCGGAGCCTCTCCCAGCACGGACTCTGCGTCTCAGAAATGGAACAAGGTGTGTTCTACCTGTCTGGCTCTGTGGGCTGTCTCAGTGCCATGATTTCTTAGGCAGCTCACAGCTCTGGGATCTGGCGACCGGCCCACGTTCCAGTCAGAAACAGCACCACTGTCAATCACCCACTGTAACACAAAACACACGTGTGCACCTTCAAGCTCGAGTACGGTACCTGCCGGGCAATGTGACTCATGGGGACACCGTGCTTCTTCATGCAGTTCTGCCCTCGGTAATCAGGGGGGTTTCCTATTTCGTACGTGGAGGTCGCTGCACTGTCTATCCTCCACTGCGGGGGAAAAGAAACGTGTTCTCACAACTTCCTGGCCCAGAGGTGTTCAGATGGGCCCCTTTACTATAGCAAACGGCACTTACCTTATCGGAGACATTTTGATCGGTGACCAGTTTTCTGAAGACGGCTTCTGCGATGGGTGACCGACAGATGTTACCTTGAAGGAAGAGGGGAAGGAAGAGGGGAGGGCAGGGGTGTGCGTCAGGTTTGAGGCAGGGCAGGTGCTGAGCCAGCACAGGGGGTCCCCGGGCCACTTCACACGGGGGGGGGGGTGCGGGGGGGCACAGCACGTCCCCGAGGACAGCACGGGGACAGCATCTGTGTGGAAGCCACCGCCCTGCCCGTCATGGAGGGACCTGTGAGGGACAGCTGGCCACACCCACGCCAATGATCTGACGCCCACTGTCCCAGCACTCAGAGCACAAGTGATAAAGAATTCCCACCAAGTCACCGTTTCCAGGTTCCTGTCGATGACCCCAACGCGGGCCACGAAATCAATGAGGTAGGTTGTAACCAACCATTTCTTTTTAATCCTCACCTGAGGACCTTTCTTTCGTTGCTTTTAGAGAGAGAGGAAGGGAGAGAGAAGCACCGATGGGGGAGAGAGGCACCGGCCAGTTGCCTCCCACACGCGGCCCGACCACGGACTGAACGCGCAACCCTTCCACTGCAGGAAAGCACTGCAACCAACCAGGCCACGCTGGCCAGAGCTGTAACCGGCCACTTCTAAAGTGAAGTACAACAGAGCCCGGAGCAGTGTATTTCCAAGTATTTGCACGTGATGAGGGTTACTACTGTTTCATCAAATGCACACCAAAGTCCTCAGGCGCAAGAGTAGTCAACACAAACCTCCTGCACAACCTGTGTGAAGTCTCTGCTCAGGTGCCGCGGGCTCAGGAGTCACCCGAGTCACAGATGCGGCCTCCAGGCTGCCACACAGGGACCGCCAGGGCCACCCTCACCCCAGACCAGCTGGCTACCAGTTCAGGAGTCCCACAGTTCAATTACCCTCTAGAACAGAGGTGTCAAACTCATTTTCACCAGGGGCCACATCAGCCTCGTGGTTGCCTTTGAAGTGCTGAATGTAACTTTAGGACTGTAAAAACGTAACCACTCCTTAACTAGGGGCAAGGAGCTCGGTGCTGCAGCCGGGTAGAAACAAGGAGCCGGGCTGGATAAAACAAGGTGGAGGGCTGGACCCGGCCCGCGGACCTTGCGTTTGCCACCTGTGCTCTAGGACTCACAGCATCAGGAGAACGCTGTGCTCGCAACTGCAGTTTTATTGTAACAAAAAGACAGGGCGCAGCACCAGCCAGAGCAGGAGAGCAGACAGCAGAGCCCGGAGGAGCCCCCGACAGAGCGTGTTTCGATGCTGGGGACGTGCCCCGCTCCCGGGACCCCAGAGTGACGACACTGAGCCCTGGATGCTCCCAAGGGCCCTGAGGCTGGGGGGCCCGGGTCTCCCAAGTGGGCATGACTGACCGGTTGAGGAGCCTGGGCTAGACTCTGCCTCTAGCGCCCCCGCGGCTGGGTGGCACCTGAGCCCACGCAGGGCAGGGCCCTCCCTGAAGAACAAGACTCTCCTCCAGCAGCCAGGACCACAGCCAGACCTTTCGCCAGCTGGGGCCCAACTCCTTACTGCACAGGAGAAAAGATAAAAGACATAAAATCTTCTATCAGATTATCCCTACTACGTGCCAAGCAATGTACTTACAGGAGACACAGCGTCAGTTACAATAAAGATATGAAAATAGGCAGGAATGAACCTTGAATGCCCTCGGGAAGCTAGTCTGTGCTGTGAAGTTTTTCCTTCTCACGTCCTAATTTTTTATTAGTTTTTAAAACAGGTATCATGACCCACACTATTTTAATTATTGAATTTTAATGACACCACTTCCTATGGTAGTGTCATTATTTTGCATACCGCCATATTCCCTGGGAACCCTTTTGACAGCAACCACTTTCCCAAATTAAGACAACAGTTACTATTTTGGAACAACAGATGCCTAATACCTCAGCACCTAAAGATATAATAAAGAGGCCCCTTTACAAATTTGTATGATTAACCATAAAATAACAGCTTAGTTTTCCCACAACAGGACAAAAGTATGGACGATGTACCGCCTTAAAGTTAAGAGAAATTCATCCACATTTTCTGCAGATGGTTATATTTGGAGCAAGAAGATATGCGTATAAGTGCAGACAGAAACAAGAAGAAAGACTGCCATAAAGATCAGAAGGCCTCCCGCCTAAAAGATCAACAGATAAGGGATGCTTGCTCTAACCTTCCCTCTTGAGTGCCAGCAAGCACATCCCCAGGTTCAAGTGCCGTCACGGAAACACAGTGCTCCAGGTGCCGGTACAGAGAAGCTGTGAAACTTAGAACGTCATGGTCAGATTTCTTTAGGAAAAAATTTCAATCTGTGAAATCTGAACAAATTGCAACTTTGTTTTTCCAAATTAGACAGCATACTGTGGGCTTACTCCACACTTCCATTTCAAGGACAGAGACTCAGAAAAAAAACCTAAATTCTCCAAGGGCAGGGGCTGTGTCTGCCCACCCACTGTGCGGGCTGTGGCACGACCACCTCACAAAAACATACACACTCATTACGCCGAGAAAGTACGCAGTACAGGTCGGTGTAACGTGTCACTGGGCACATCATGCCTCAGTCTGAAAAAGGTCCACACAAACGCTCTGAAGGATCCCGGAGCTCCCCGTCCTGCAGGCACCAGGCACTGGCATTCCCGGCCCCTCGCCCCCCCCAACCCTCACCCCCGACCTGCTGTGGCCCCTCGCTCCTCCTCCGCGTCATCTGCAGGCCCCCGCCTCCCCCGTCGTCTAATCTCGACAGGGCAGCCGCCAGAATCCTCCCCAGGCGTCTCCCGCCTCGGCAAACCTGTCCTTCTCGGGCCCTGAGACAGGGGTCCAAGAACACTGCCCGCAGGCCACCATCTCTGTGTACAGCCCATGGAGATAAGAATAATTTTCACATTTTTAAGTAGTCAAAAAAACCCTTAAAAGTAGAGTAACACTTTGCGACACGAGAAAAATATATGGAATTCAAATCCCGCTGTCCATGAAGTTCTGCTGGAACAGCCAAGCTTCACCCTTGATGTGTTAGGGCCTGCGAAACACACAAAAATGCTTATTCTCTGGCCTTCCGCGGGAAGTCTGCAGACGCCCGGCCCAGGGCACCCGAGGGGCACAAGTAACCCCCCGGTGCGCACTGAGAGCGGCACACCCGCGAGCAGGGAGAAAAGTCACCCCAGCCGCCCTCCAGCAAGCCGGTACTGGCGAGGGCGCCTGACGCGGAGATCTGGAGAATCAGATCTCCTGGCTTGGCTTTGGCAACCAAAAAACCCAAAACCTCGCGGCCCATCTGCCTCCAGCTCAGACTCGGGTAAGCGCGGGGGCACCGCAACCCGCCGGCGAAGCTGTCGGCGGGCGGAGCGCGCAGGAGGCCTCTGGGCAGCTCCGGGTCTCCCCACGCCCGGGCCGGAGGGATTCCCGCAGCTGCCCCGGAAGGGCCCTGGCCCGGAGCTCTGCGCAGGGGAGAGGGCCCGGGAAGGGGTCCGCGCGCAGACCGGACCGGGTCCCGGCGCAGAGGGGCAGCCCGGGAACCCCGCTCACCCTCTGGGTCGGCGCCCGCGCCCGCGCCCAGAGGCATGTCCCGGGGAGCACAGGCCCACCCCGACCCCCGGGGAAGTCAGAGCGGGGCTAGATCAGCGCGTCTCACCCAGACAAACGAAGAGCACCGACTTGGGCACCTGCTCAGCCATCTTCCCGCGAAAACACGCAGGCGCCCGCTGACCGCGTCCGAGCGTCCGTGGCGCAGCGCCTGCGCACTCTGGGCGCCCCGCCCCGCGCGCCTGCGCGGTCCGACTTTAGAGCCGTCCCGGGGCCGGCCTAGGGGCCGCGCGCTTGCGCAGTCAGGCGCAGGCGACACACCGGAGGCGGGGCCGAGTTGCGCGGGCGGAGAGGGCGGGGCCCGGGGGAGGGGAGGAGTGAGGGCGGGGCGGGAGGCACGTGGGGGACCGGAGGCGGCGGGGGACGCGGGGACGCGGCGGGGGAGGCGGGGTCGCGAGGCACCTGGAGGGCGAGGGAGGTTGGGGCGGACTTGGGTCCGGGCTCCGCGGAGCGGCCGCCCGGGGCGGGGGGCGCCGGCCCGAGTCCCGGGCCGGAGGTGGGACTGCGGGCGCCGCGGAGCGGCACCGGAGGGGCGGGGTCCTGACACCTGGGCCTCGCGGCCGGAACCTGAGGCCGGGGGCCGGGGTCGAGCGGGGTCCGCACACGACCACGGCCCCTCCGGGGCCCGAGACCCCGAGCGGAACGGACGCGCGCAACCGTCCGCTCGGCGACCGGGACTGTCGGCCCGGGCGGCCTGAGGTCTGGGACCGCGGGAGGCGCTGGAGGCCACCGGGGACGGGGTCGGGCTCGGGCTCCGCCGGCGCCGCCTCACCTGTCCAGGTGCGCGCCGGGGGCGGTCCCGCGCTGGGAGGCGGGGCCGGGAGGAGCGCGCCCTTCCTCTTCCTGGCCGGGCGTCCGCGGCTCGAGGGGCGCCGGCGTGGGCCGGGCCGGGGGCACGAGTGAGTACCCGCCCCGGGGTCGCGGCCCCCTCCCCCTCCCCCCGGGAGAGCTTTGCTGGGGCGGGTCCGTGGGGGAGAGACGACGCGCACCCACGGGCGCTGGACCCACCGCGAACCGTCACAGCGAGTCCGGGGCGACGTCGCCTCGGGCCCCGCACGCAGCGCCGGGACGCGGGCCGCCTCCCGGGTGTCCGACCCGCGGACGAGTTGCTCGTGAAGTTTCCGTCCGAGCGGCTGCAGTTACTCCTGAGCGCCTCCTCTGTGCCGGGCCTCGCGTTAGTGTCTTTCTCGTCCCCGTCCGCGTGGGGGTTCGGTGCTGGCGTGTGCTCGAGGCGTGGGGGCAGGAAGGGCGGGGTGACGGGCGCGGTGGGGGTCCCCGGAGGGAAGCGAGGCCCCGCCCTGAGCCTCACAGCCTGGAGCCGGACTGAGCGGGAGAGCCGGCCGGCGCGGACCCCCGCGGGGGGGCGGTGGCGCCCCCTCGCTGGAACGGGTGGAAACCGCCCCACTGGCGCCCGACGGTGCGGGCCGGTGGCGCCCCCTCGCTGGAACGGGTGGAAACCGCCCCACCGGCGCCCGACGGTGCGGAAACAGGTCCGCCCTGCTGGACGGGACTTGCCGTCCCCGCCCCACTGGTTGCAACCAGCGTTCCAGGGTCACCACTGCTGCTGCCAGCGTTGGAAGGACGGACACGGGCGACACCGACGCGGGACCCTGCCCCCGTCCGAGGGGCCCAGGAGTGGTCCTCGCGAGCCGTTTGTCGTTTATCGGGAGGAAAGTCGGGAACTGCCCCGCAGGACTCCCTAGAGGGGTCCGGCCCCTGTGTGCGGGCCTGCGCGGTGGCTGCAGGGGGTTGGAGGTTGCAGTGGTCAGAACAAGTGAGAGCTTCGCGCGGCTCCTCGTGTTTCAGGAGGGTGGGTTACTTGGTTTACTAGTGCCCTACTTAGACAAAATCTCCGTCGAGTGTGTGAATGCTGCCCTGATCTTTTGTGACATTGAAAAAAGTAATTGGAGAGATCTCTGCTCATCAAGGTCGATTCGATGCTTTTATCCCGTTTAGGAAAATTTAGGAAATCACAGTTCTCAGGAGGGCTCTCACTCTTTAGAAGTAAGCGGGGGTGGGGTGTTCCCAAAGGACAGGAAGCCAGGCTGGTGGGTGGTGGTCACAGAAGTCCCCCCCGACCATACCTTGTCTTACTTGCAGCAGGATAGCTCGTGAGCACACTGAGCTTTCTGTTTTCCTGGGAAGAGCCCACTCTGCACCAGCTGATCTGACAGCACAGACACGAACCCACGCCCCCAGCCAGGGTCCTGTGAGCTTCGGTTTGGGGGCGGGGAGAGGTCCCCTTCCGCTGGAAGCCCTGTTTCTCATCACTCCCCACTCTCTGCCCCCCCCCCATCTGCACCTGGGAGCGGGAAGAGCAGCCCTGGCCACACGAATGTTTGCATTCACACGATCAGTTTTGTTTAAAGTTTGAGTTAGGAATTTGGATTAGGGAAGCTAATGATCTGACCAGAGAGACCGGTTTTGATTTCTAGAACTGACAACTTTGTCTCTTCAATCAAAGGAAGTAGTTAATCCAAGGCTGAAAGATAAGAATTGGTTTCACAAACAATGGCCATAGTTACCAAGCAGTGGGATTCGCAGCTGATGTTCTAGTAAAAGTTCTGAGCTAAAGACAACCTTAAAAGTCATTTTAAAGATTACATAGGTGAAGTTTCTTTTGTTTTGGCCAAGATTTAACTCATTCTAAATATTTCTTAGTACCATTTTAGCTCTTTTGATTTTAGTTGGGATTTTATCAATTTTAGTGAGGTAACCTCTATTTCATATAAATTATAAGGTTTAATAATTTGATTAACATCTAATTAACAGCAATTCAGAAACCAAATTCCTAAACTTCTGGCCTTTACCCAGAGGTGCCCCTCTCACGGCCGAGTGCACTAAGAAAAGTAATGGTGCCTGTTGGTGGGAGAAGGTCTGGGAACCCTGCACCCCCCCCCCCCGCCCTTGCCTTCACTCCAGACCCTGGTGGAAGGCAGACAGGGGACCGGTCAGTTTTCTGGCCCCCACCCAGCTTACTGGGGAGGGGTTCTGAAGGCCCTGTTTGCCCCCAGGGCCTCAGCCTGAGCTGCTGTCCGTGATCAACGAGGGAATCGTTTCCACATTGGAAACCCATTTCCAGCTTTGGAGGTTTCCAAAGTAAAAGTTTTTCTCCCTAGTATTTTATAAACTTCTCTTAATTAAAAAAAATAACCTTAGTATGAAATTTTCCAAATATTTTAATTACTTTTTAAAGAAGACTTCACCTCTAAGTTTCTTAACTTGAGGTTTGGCAGCTCTCCTCCTGCCAGGAGGAAACTTGGGTGTTTATAGAGAATTTGCTTTGGAATTCAGGAGACTTAGGACTTTTATGATTGTTCTGATGCTTAGCACGATTTAGAGTTTAAGGAGCTTCTTCAGTCGTGACCTCTGTCTTCCTGACCTCCGCCATGTCCGATCAAGCATGCTCTGTGCTTTGTGGGTGGTAGGGGGCGGAGGGCATGCCCTGATTGGCTGCTGAGAGCAGGGGTGGCAGCATAGACCTGCATTGTTAGTTGTGGGCTCTGACAGAAAGTCACTGTGTGTACCTAGGACCAGGCAGTGTGATTTTATCAGAAATTTAATAGAATCTGCACTATTCCAACAAGTTAGCCAGGTTCTCCCGTGGTTCAGCTGAACACAGTGGTGTGCTTGCCGTGACTCACCTTGCCAACGCCCACCTGCAGCGACAGGGGACGGCTGGTGCTGGCACAGGACTCTGCTCTGGCTGCCGGTCGAGCTCCGAGGCCCACAGGCTCCCTGGCTGCACCCGAATCCCCAGGGGTGCACAGCGGAGGCAGGGCCTTCCCTGCGGCAGGGCGTTCGCAGCAGCAGCTCTCGGCTGGGAAGCCGCCTGTTTGGTGTGTAGCTCTGCTTGGGCGCGGAGATCACAGAGGACGTCTTTGGGGGGATGGTGAGAGTCACGGACTGTGTACTGGGCTTCAGTTGCACATGACAGAAACTGGTCCAAATTGCTGTTACAGGAGAGGCTGCCCCTGGCCCATGGGACGGGGCGGTTCGGAGCTGCTGTGGCTTCAGCTGGGCCAGCAGAGCCCAGGTTTTCTCTCTCCGGCTCTTGCCCCTCTGCATGGTGTTTTCCTCAGCACCCCCCCCCCCCCCGGGGTGACAAAGTCTTGCAGCAAGCACCTGGAAAACGGTCATCCTGGCAGCGCCCCCACCAGCCCTTGGCCCAGTGTTTGCTGACCGTGGACCAGCTGTGGCTACCAGGTCCTGGGGCCCAGGAGGAGCGCTGGGGTCACCTGCTCCACTTGGGGGGCAGCGTCCGTGGAGAGAGACAGGCTGGTGCCGACTCTGAAAGAAAAGGCGGGTGCTCAGCAGAAGGAGGAGGTCTCACTGGTCGCTAACTCAGTCCGACGGGAAGTGCTGAGCGTCTGGGAGCACACATGAACAGGCATGTGGGGCACAGAGATGAGGAGTCTCCCGGCCTGTCTGTCTGTCGGGACTGCAGTCCAGGGTGGGAAGGGGGTTATACAAGGGAAGTGGGGAGGAAAGACAGATGCACAGGGAGGAGCCTCAAACCACAAAGCCCGAGTGCCAGGAATACAAAAATGGGGCCGTGGGTCTCGCTCCCTTCCTGGAAGCAGCCACGATCGGGGTGCGGCTGAGGAAGACTCCGGTCTGCTCGCTGCCCACTCAGATCTGCTTTCGGTCTGCAGGCACCCTCGACCCCGGGGCGCTGCCAGTCCCTGCTGCGTCCACAAGGCCTGGCCTTGCAGCTCCATGCAGGGCAGCAGAGTTCCCTGTGGGCGCCGCTGTGGGCCTTGCAGCCGGAGGGACTCTCGGGTGAGCCGCCCTCGTCCCAGCCCCCAGCCGCTGGGCTGCCTGAGGGCGCTGGGAGCACCGCTCGCTGGTGTCCGTGGTCGGGTGTTTGGGTCACGAGCGTGTGTTTCTCCACATAGTCTTCCTATAAGCCAGACTCGGCCTCGCTGGGGTCATCCAGTCTGGACCTCAGGAGCCAAAAGCGCTGAGCCGCCTGTACAGCCACCGTCCTACAGGTGACACGGGCACCAAGGAGTAACAGGGAGACAGCGCAGGTGACTGCGCTGCTCCCTCGGGTGTTATCAATGCAGGTTTAATCCAGGTCCACACCAACCTAATGGCGGCACTAGCACTGATCACTCAGAGACAGTCAGTGATAGCGTCACGGGAGAGAATCGGGGGGCACGAACCCGAGGCCCAGAGCCGCGGTCTGCGGGTCTGGAGACCACGTGGTGGGCAGGGGGGCCTTCGGCGTCTCGTGAGGCAGCGTCTCCGGGGCCAGGTCAGCGGCGGCACGAGTGACGCCCTTGGTCCGGCGGGCCCGGGCCTCCGGCAGCACGGCCGTCCGGGGATCGGCACAGCGTGGGGCAGCCCCTTGGCGCTTGGAGGTCTGCAGTCTCGGTGGTGGCCCTGAAGTCCACCTCCATTCCACCCGAACTCTGGGCGCCTGCCTGGGCTGGGAAAGTCCGTGGCTCGGGGCCAGGAGCCCCCAGCGCTGGATCAGCAGGCGCGCCCTCCCTGCAGGCAGGTCTGTGGGCCGGTATCTTGGGTGTGCCGCCCTGGCAGGCCTTTGGCAGGGCGCCTGGTGTAACTTAGGCAGCTGCTTCCTTGAACCCAAGTGCCCAGTGCCGTGGATGGCCGGGGTCAGCCGCCTTGGTTGGCACTGAGTGACACCGTCTTGCGCTACAGGCTTTATCTTGTCTCGACTGGCCCCGAGCCGTGGGGTTGGCCCCGCCCTGCAGGGATGTTTGTTTCGCCTTGTGCCCCCTTTCCGGGGAGGACCTGAAGGAGACTCGCTCAGGGCAGGACACCAGCACCTGCAGCTTGCTTCCCTCCACCCTCCTTTCTCTCACGGTTCTCTCACGGTCTGGGAAGTGCCGCAGACGGAGGGGCAGGGGCGCCCCGCTGCCGGGGTGCTCGC